TCTTTTTTCTACCTAATAGGGAGACAGATGCCAGTATGAGCAGAGTATAGTACTTGACTTCTTAGTAAGTACAAATTATAGTTAACTCATGAAAAAATGTCTCTATACACATATATACATATATATAAAATTTTCTAAAGGGGGGGCGGTGTGAGGCAGGATCTCACTATTTAGCCCTAGCTAGTCCAGAACTTGCTATGCAGACAGGCTGGCCTCAAATTCACAGAGATCCACCTGCTTCTGACTCCCAAGTGCTGGGATTGATGGCATGTGCCACTGCATCTTGGCATGTCTTTGTATATTTTAACTCACTTATTAAATTAAGTATTTTGCACTTTAAAAATATTGGTTAAAATATTACCTAAAATTTCTAATGAAATTTAGTTTTTGAAACTGTTCTTATACATAATTTTAAACTATTGAGTTTTTGAGACTTTGATAATTAATGCAAATGGAGTGAATCAACCCAGATGTCATACTCTTTGGTATAATTAGTTATACTAATTTATAGCAAAAATCAATATACTAGAAAATATTTCTGCATACATCTTTTAATGAATATCTGTTGCAAACACATTAAAAAGTGGCAGAGAAATCTAACAGAACAGACTACATGCAGCACCTCCAAATGCATCAAATCCAGCAGCACCATGAGAATACATTATCCAAACAGAAGAATCCAAATATAACCAATGCTTATAAGAGCCTATTTCCCATTACAATAGTCAAACTTATCAAAATTTATCAGTACAAAAATAACTTCACAAACTGCTAATGTATAATCTGAACTCTCAAAAGAGTGATAGCAGTTATTTATCAATACAGTACTGCATAGGAGAATCGAAGTTGTGATTAACAAAATAAAAACTTTTAGTTTTCAAAAGTACATATTAGTATTACATTCCAACAGCACTAAATTAATATAAAATTAACTACTACTAAGAGAATTTTAGGTTGTATTAAATCTTTAAAAATATCCAACTACTTATTATTATTAGACATAACAGCTTCTAGAATTCCACACAAATGACTCTAGGAAGCAAATAATTCCCTTGGGTGAGAGAGGAAAGCGTTTCCTCACATGTACATATAGGTTAATCTATTAGGGTATAGCTACATTTTAGTCTAGTAGTGTAAGACTATGGTCTCAAAGCACAGCCTAAAGAGTTATTACTTCAGTTTGCCAATGAATATCTGTTCAACCCCAAAAGTATATTACCATTTAATTTAAAAAATATTCTTAAAGAAAAAAGTAGCAATTTAGAAGTATTTAATAACATTCCCTTAAAGAAATCAGCAAACATTTATCCTCATGATCTTCCTGTTTTGCACACTTCTAAACTTCTGAGAGCATTTAAAGAAGTGCACTAAAGAGTGTTCATTCCTTGAAACTTGGTGAGAATATTTTTGCATAGTTTATGACAAGGACACGAAAGAGTATTATACTATTTAAGGAGTATTGAGCAGCCCATACATTTAAAATTCAGTTTAGAGGTATAGTTAAAAAAAAAAAATCAAAGAAAGTAGTAAATGATTCTGCTAGTGATTATGCTACTGAATCAGATATAATAAAACAATTATAATAGCTTAGTATATACATTTCTTTAAAAGTTCAAAAATAATTTAAAGAAATTATTATAGATAAAATTATGTAACTGGGATGTGTTTTAAAACTAATAATGGTAGAGTTGGGAGTGTGGCTCAGTTGGTACAGTGGTTGCTTAGCTTTCGTGAAGATTTGGATTTCAGTCCCAACGCTGAAATAATAATACAGTGGTACAAGAATGGGTAGGATTAGTGATGAAACAAGATCTGACCATTTTTTTTCATAACTGTTAAGGCTGAGTGGTATTTTAAGAGTTCACTATTCTGTTTCATACATATCTGAAAACTTTATAATAAAAATTGTAATTAAATTTTAAAAAATTTAGGCTAGAGAGTTGGCTTAGTAGTTAAAGCACTTGCTGCTCTTGCAGAGGACCCAGGTTCAGTTCCTAGCACCCAAAGCAGTCAGTTCACAACTGTCTGTAACTCTAGTTCCAGGGGATCCAACACCCTCTTTCTGGCCTCTGCGGGCACCAAGCATGCACATGGTGCACAGGCATATGTGCAGGCAAAACATTCATACAAATGAATAAAGAAAATAATTAAAATAAAGCCAATAAATGGTACAGAACAGACTATATTAAAATTGTCAGGCCTAAGTGAAAAATCATGGTCCCTTTGCTAATTAGTGATTTATAGGACTTAGGATAAAAATATAATTTAAAAAAAAGCTGTTTAAGTAGCTATCACATGTAGCCTGAAAGACAAGTTCACTGCTCCCGATGTTGCCACATCCTTTTTTTTTTTTTTTTTTTTACACTGTGGGCCATCACACCCATCCTTTTTTGCTTTTAAGACAGAAATTCTAGCAATTTTGCTTCTTATTTAGCAGTAAAATGGGACCAGCCAGGACAGAGAAATAGTAGCCCAAACTGTTTTTTAAACTAGTCTTTTGTTGTTGTTAAAACAAGTACTGAGGAAGGAAGGCAAAGTGACAGCCTAAGCTCCAAAAGCACAAGATGTCTGTCTTCCTATGCCATGGGAAAAAGAACAGTATATCCATTTAAACACTTTAGGAACTTTAGACTTAAGTAAAATTTATTCTGATGTTCTGTTTCTAGCTCATGAAATGCAGGTCTTATTTCTGCATAGGTCTTCCCAGACAGATACATACTTCCTGAGACAACAATGTGCTTATGTTACATATTTGGCTTAAATGTACCATTAACTGACCACATATATACTAGGGCAGAGTCAAAAGAACTGAGCTGCCAACTCAAAGTAATGGCTAATGAACTATGGAACCTAGGACACAGAGACTAAACTTTGGGATTTAGTCTTCTCGTGAACCAAAGTCATGTGCTTTCAAATTGTGATGCTTTACACTGTAATTAGCACACACATATAGATGCTCATCACTGAAACAGTTATTAAGCCAACTGACTTTTACTGAAGTTTTCTTTTTTCTTTTTCCAGAATGCTATCAAAAGCCTATTAACTTGATTTAAAACTACCATAGTTTGGGAAATCCTAGATTACTCCATCTTTGAGGTCTCTTCTAATTTTGACCTTCTAGGCTCCTAGTATCAGCTGTAAAATAATCCACCTCACATGGAAATCCCGATTTCAGTCAAGGAAGTAGAAGAATGATCAATATATAATCAAAACAAATTCAGGAGTTTTCTAAAATCCTACAACTAAGAATTCTTAAAATAAGAAAAACTTTAAGATTATAAAATACCTTTAACATAATTAAAAGTTTAAACTACTAGGTTTTATATTTAGAACTCTGTCAATACCTCCATGACAAATTTATAAATTTCCTAAGTCAAAGAAGTAATATCTTCCAGGTGAAAGTGGTTCTTATCAGACACTCAAGAACAGAGAGCCAGTAGATGAGAGCCAATTCTAGGTAAGTGATGTCAATACTAAGGATTAACAAAACAATAAACATTTAGAAGCTTTTAGGTATATAATTAAACTGGAAATTGCTTTTATAAGTGTTAAATTTAAAAGTTATTATTTCTAAGTGTTAGAGTATTCAGTGAAGATGGCTCAATTTGGGTGTTAAATCAAGTACGCTATTATGTTCAGTGCAGTTCAGTCTTTTAAATGAAAATGTTAAATATATTAATAGAAAGAAAATTTTTCCTTCCCTTAACTCAATTAAAATATTTTGATTGTGAGCCTGAGCCTTTAATGGCTGTGCCAGCTCTCCGGCCCTACAATTAAAATATTTTTAAAAATTATATCCTAAATATATCATTCTTTATTTATAATTGAAGGTGATTTTGAAAAGCTACTAAAGAATTGTAGTCGTTGGTTAAAAAAACTATGTTCAACAAGATGGTATAGTTTTCAGATTGAAGGAATCAAAATTTTCCTCTGCTCAGCTATCTTTATAGTTATAGGAAGAAGAAAATGCACTTATACTACCTTATCTCCAAAATGACTACTACTTTATGTAAATTTACTGCATTTTTAGCAAAGATTTAGGGCATCCTCACATTGAAAGTTTCCCCTGATCATTCCTAAAAATCATTCCTCTTATTTCCTTCTTTATTCAGCTTAATGAAAAGGTCCCAACGCTATACTCTAATGTTTAATTCTATGCTCCTGTTATTTAGTACAGTTCAATCAAAATAAAAATTCATACAGAGAGCTTGAAATATCTCTTTTCATTTCTTAATATACCAAAGATTTTAATTTTTAAAACTTGGTCCCTACCAAAAACTGTGCAATAAAACTAATTTCTTAACTTTGTATAAAACTTCTTAGTAAAAAGCATTCAAACAAGGATGAAAGTCAACTTTAAGACAGATTACTGATAGGCATCTGTTTTATAGTTGCAATAGCACTATTTCACAGGCCTCTTTACATTCTAAACAGTACCACAGTAAAGTCAATAATTAATGTAACTGGCTTAAAACACATTTAGGACAAACTATATCTTTTTAAGAACATAAAATTATTTTAAAGTTCAGAATCAAGGGAAACTTCATTGCCTGTTGGTATGCAAAAATAAATCTGCCATTAACGCTAACAGGCTCCTGCTAGGCTTAGCCATTGTCTCCTATGGAATCATGCTGTGACATCACTTGTTAAGACTATGGGGTAAAGCTTTATTTTAGGGTGGGAATTCTACTTTTTTCATTACAACTTACAAACCTGAAATAACATACATGAAACCAGAAAAATGGATAACAAAGGGGCCTTAAAAAAATAGAGACTGTTTTTGTTCCACTGAAAAACACTTTCTCTTGTAATAAGCTCATTCCTTTTTCTACACAGATAAAAGAAATAAAATATTCACTAAGTAACCATAAACAATAATAAAAGAAGAAGTCTGACCTGGAATTTTTACTCAAAGATTGTAACTTCAAGATTTGCTGAAACCAAGTAACTTCCACATTTACACATTTTATTTAATCATGATTGCTGAATTGAATGGGTACCTATGTGAAAATGGCAATGCATTCTGAGTTGGTTCAGTCCTTGGCTCTGAGTTCTGGGTCACATCAGGTGTTCTTTCATCATCTGTCCCATTGATACTTTCTGGTGTTAAAGGAGACTGAAGATCCCCGCCTGCTGATTCCTTTAGGAAAAGGATGGGTGATTTAAAGCAAAAAAGAAGAAATAATTAAACTTTTGTTCAAGCACACAATGCCATCTATATGAATTCTTTGTGAGGAGTCAAATTTCAACTGAAATTTGAATCTTCTTAAAAAGAATAAAATTGAAAGAAAAATTTTTACAGAAAAGCAACTCATAAGAAAACTTACATACATGCATACAATTAAAAATTATAAAGATAATTTAGAAATGCAGTTTCTTTTTAGTTATTTTTATTTTACATGTATGAGCGCACTGTCTGCATGTATGTAAGTGCACCTGTGTCATGCAAAAGAGGGTGTCAGATTCAATAGAAGAGGGTGTCTTCTTCAATAGAAGATACAACACAATTCTTTTCTCTGTAGAAGTTTTGACAGGAAACATGATTTTGATACATAAGGAAGATGGAATTGAGATCTCAGGCAAGCATTCTGTGATCCTCTGTTGTAAACTATTCCCTATACTTCACCACCATCCAGAGCTACCACCTCTGAAATCTCATTTTCTGATAACCAAAAAAGTTCTTGCATAGCTGGGGATATGATGGCTCAGTGGTAGTGTCTGTCTAGAATGCAGTAAGACCATAGTTTCCCTTTGTTCTTAAGGTTTGCTAGAAGTCACCTTAAAAATGTCACTGCTTTGATTTTTGGAATTTACATAATTTTCATAGAGGTATTTGATAGAGTGTTAAATATAAAGCCTAACAGACTAATTTAAACTTCTCATTATGTTAAAGGCATTTTATAATCTTATGCGAATACTAAGGATTAGCAAAACAGTAAACATTTAGAAACACAGGCTCCCAAAAATCTGGTTTGGGGGGTGGTAAGAAAAGAAAAACTGAGTCTAGACAAATCCATATTCTTTTTTT